AGAAAGTTAATATCTAAATTATTTCTTCCTAAATCGTCGAGCTAAAGGAGGCAGGAACGCATTAGGATCTCTTGATTTTTATTCGATGAAATGGCAACGATTGGACCATGGCAATCGTCCAAAGAACATCATTTTACGGGAGAAAGGATAATCGTCCTGGAATTTTCCTGGCTTACTTATTCGTGGTATTTGTCAAGCTTGCTTACTTCCTTCGATCGGTATGAAGTAATATGTAATATTTTAGTTGGCATTCGATTGTTTACAATTTATTCATTTATTTATTTATCTATTTATGAAAAAAATTCATTGGTATAAATTTATACAAGGTGATTCAAGTTTTTTTTTCCGTCAAATTGTGTCAGTATGTTTTACGTATACAGAAAAACATTATATAAATATATAGAGTTACAAATGCTCTATTAAAAAATTATAAGTGAATTGATATTAAGTGAAATGATAATGAAATTAAGTGAAATGATAACGGACTTTTTCTTATTATTAATACATTATATATTCATCGTGTGAGCGGTAAACATTGAAAAAAATAAAAACGACTACAGTTTTTATGAAGGGTACATTCGTGTAATATAAAAATTTAATTATTTACCATTAAAAGTTTAAAACAACTTTTACAAAATTATTTTTTATTTATTTTTAATATCTATAATAGTCATATGTATGATTATAACAAAATCACAAAATTGTAAACGATTTTACTATTTTTTGTTTTCTTAACATTTACTACTTACCAAATGAATACATTAACGTATAATAAAAACAAATCTGTTATTATCTAATTTTTATCTAATTTTTATTATAGCATAATTAATAAAACATTTATAAATCTATATTTATATGACATTTTTTCTTATTACTACTCATAAAACATATCGGCACAATTTGGTAGAAAAAAAATAGAATCACCCTATATATAATAATTGAATACTGATAATATGTGTCATTTTATTATTTAATCATTTTATAGTCAGATTAAAGAATTTTAATGTAAATATATATCATATTAAAAATGTTATTAATCGATTAAAACAAAAAGAAAAAAACAAGGTAGAGAAATTTTTCCATATGTTTGTTTTAGAAAAAAATCTTATAAAAAAGCTATTAGATATAAACAAGATATAACAATTTTCTATCTATAATTTAATGTATACGTTTTTATTTACACGTAATTTAATATATAACGAGCATTAAAGGAAAGAGAATTAATTCATAAAATTTGCCTATTTTATAAACATAGGCATATTTTTTTTTAATTGATAAAATAAAGAACAGTTAAAATAACGTGAAAAGAAATTGTTTATAAAGAAAATATATACCTTTTAGATCATTTTATTATGGATATCGGATCGATAATACACTTTTGTGTTTAGAAATATAAATCGACCACCTTGTGAAGCAATGTTATTATATTTCACGAAAGTTCACGTGACCTACGCTTTATATATTATCAAAGGAATATCTTCTTCGATGATAACGTATTCTCATAGGTTTAATTCCATTATTTCAGAACGGAAAGAGAAGGAAGAATAAAAGAAAGATAAAAAAGAAGGAAGAATGTTTATGCATTTATTTCCATGAAAGGATCGATAAATCGAATTGATTCTTGCAAGTCGTTACAAAAAAAATAATAAATAAAAAAAAAAACACAACCTGTCAAATGCAGGGCACAAATGAAAAAGTCGATATAACTACGACTGGCCTCTTCTTTTATGCATTTTAATAACATTTTGATATGTAGAAAAGAAATAAAAGCAAGAAAGAAATATCTTTCAAATTGGGATTTGACGAGCGTATGAAAAAGAAAAATTGACTTTGGTCGGATAAATAACGAAATGCGAGTATGTAGATATTTTTTTTTTTCTTTTTCTTTTGCATTTTCATAGGCAAGGAGAAAAGACAAAATTTTTATTCCTTTTTTTAACCCTTTTATAAATAAAATGTTTAAAGAGTTTAAACAAAATAAATAATTTTGAAACCTATAATATATAATTTATTAATATAAATATAATGTATTAAATAGTTTCAATTACTAATAATTAAAAATATTAACTAACAATTAAGATTTTAGATAAAAAAATAAATGAAATAAGATTTAAATATGAATATATGAATGTATAATTTGAAAATAACGTGTCTTTATATAAGATTAATCTCGTTAATTATCTTTTATATAAGTAATTTTATGATTTTAATAATAACTTCTAATATCAATGAGTGAAATACCATCTGACATTTTTATGAAAAGGAAATAATTCAACTTGGTAAATTTTTAAAAGATGTAAAGTAACGAACGATCTACTTCTTCGAACAGAAGGAGAACTTTTTCTCTCGGGTATAAAAGATGCCACGTTCGCTTCTTAAACGTTCGAGTGTTTTATAACTCGAATAAGAGCGAGGACAAAAGTCGAGATAGATATATAGATAAAAAGAGAGAGAATGAGAGATAGAATGAGAGAGAGAGAGAGAGAGAGAGAGAGAGAGAGAGAGAGAGATGAAAAGAGGATCTATCGTCTCGTTGAGTGGTCTGACACTTTTGAATTCGTTGAAAGGTCGGCGATGTGTTAAAACCTCTTCACGGGTGATTTGTCGATCATTTCATCAGGTGAAAAAGTTTTGAGGAAGTTAATCGTCATGTTGGAAAGGATGAGTTTGAATATTTACGTTAGGTAGATAAAAATCTCATGAAAGAAAAAGAAACTTCGATTTATTTCTTTCTTATTTTTTTTTTTTTTTTTTATTTTATTATTATTTGTTTTTGATTTTTTTTCTATTAGCAGTGATGAAAAATTCGTTTTTTCTTTTTTTTTTTTTTTGACGATAAAAGAAAAATGGATAAATTCGTTCTTTTCAAATATAGGAATTTATCGTCGTTAAAAAATGGTGAGAAAAATTCATTTTTGTTCTCTTCGATAAAAGCAAATAAATGTTTGAATGTGAATTTTCGTCCGATGAAAATACGTCGAAATGATTGTAACCTATTTATATTTAACGTGTTAATATGACGTTCCTTGTATCATTGATCTTTTGTTTTTAATGACACTGTGTAAAATTATTATATAAACACACGTATGAATGTTTTGTAATGCTTGGCTTTTAATTTCTCTCATTTCATTCTCATCTCACATGGATGGTAAATGATCATATTCGAGTGGAATTTTATTTTTTTGTTATACGCAATTTAGCATTTAGCTTTACACAGAAATACCATTGGAAATATTTCTGTACGCTTTGTACATATTATTCATAATAATATAAATTATATAGATATGTAACTATGTAATTTTACATCAGCTACAACCACAAGTGATTTTAATTTGTTTTCGAGATTGTCGATGGGCTGTTGTATTATTAATGCGTAATAATTGCATACTCTCAAACGTTTGCTTTTAGTGTTATAGAATAATTTACGTCGATACTAAATTTTGTTTTAAAATATCATAAAATTTTCGCACAATTCGTGTGACTGGTAAAATAATTTCGATAACAAAGATGATAGAGAAGAATAAAAAGAAAACTCGAAAAATATTATTAAATTCATTATGCGTTTTTATACTAATATCTAAAGCTTCAAAATCATATTTGCGAACTATTGATCATATAATTAATTCATCGTTAACCTTCTTTTCTTTTGATAAGGAAAACTAAATATATAACAAATAATTTGATTTTAATTGCAAATATTTTTAAATAATTTCAATTGTTTTGATGTTTTTTGATAAATTTTATTACGTGACTCATCCGATCGATGGCAAACATTTACCACGTATTTACCAATTATTTCAATACCAAAATTAATTAATTTTCAGATATTTATTTCGATCGTCATTTATTTATTCAACAAAACTGATTATACATTAAAAAATATCACTATTAAAAGCAATTATAACAAATATTGAACATAACAAAGATTAAAATCAATATGAAAATATATTAAACTTTATAACTTCATTTTCACTAACTTATAAAATTATCGTTTAAAACTTACATATATATTTTCGAACAGAAATAATTTGGGCTTCAATGTAATTTTAAATGAAGTTTCGTAATGTTCACGATCTCTCTTACGTGTTTGAACAATTAAGAGAATCAAAACTCCAATTGACTTCATAGAACTTCGATGAAATCGATTGCGAACATTTCCAAAAACCGCGACAGGTGTTACATTTCAAATAGTAATTAGAGCTTCAACCACGCTAACATGAAATAACTCCCACGTCTACATGTAACACATCTACAAATAACAGGAGATAGTAAATATAAATCAAACGTATATGTGTGTGTGGCTATAATTGTACAATTCTCTCTCTCTCTCTCTCTCCCTCTCTCTCTCACTTTCTTGTTGCGTTAGGAAAATTCAATAAACGAAGAGGCGATGTGTAATTGGAATTAATTCGCTAATACATTAGCCACGAAAGCACTGTATTACGATTAAAATATGCCTTTATGTACTATATATATACAAACCTTGATATCTCAATGAAAGATAAATGGTTTCACACAAAGTGTCTATATAGACAATATTTGACATATTAATCTCGTGAATCTGAATTTGTAATATTTGTATATGGTTAAGTATTAATAAACAATGATAATATAACTGAAGATACCTGCAATTTTATATAAATGATATAATTAGGTATCTACGCTCGTTAAAATAAAAATAGATATCTACGGTCTCTTTATCGAAAGAGCTTAATTAAGAAAAGAATTTTTAATGATTCAGCTTGATGAAATTTTTATAAATTAATTTGATTGAAAATAATTTTGAAATATGAAATAAATCATATAATAAATTATAATAAATATAGAAAATGTTACAAAAATTAATCATTTCTCAATTAAAATAAATTAATTCTAAAATAAATATTGAGGATTTAAAAGAGTCAATTTTCCTATAAATCATTGTCTTTGAAATAAAAAGTGTAAGTTCCATGGAATGACATGGTCCCGTTAATAAAAATGAAAAGTTTACAAAATGTAAATGTACGATAAAACAAACAAACAATGGGCCGGAGGAAATAAAGAAAGAACATAAAACAAAGTGTTCAATAGGAAACCAAATGGGGATAGAATCGATCGTATCTGAGTATACACCACACACACGTATTCTTGGTGTGATTAATCTAGAAAAGACGGAGAAACGCTGAGGAGGATGTAGACGATAGACGGAAGCGGAAAGACCGATAGAATGGCGTACCGAATGGTATAAAAGGCTATATAACGGGCGTTGGCTGATTCGTAACTACAGACTTGCAATAAATTCGCGCACGTTTCACGGAAATTCACGACACCAGACCGGACGAGACTGACGACGAGTAAAATAAGAAGGAAAGGAAGGAGAAGGGTCATGGAATGCGAAAGAGGCATATAGCATACCACACTATTGGTGAGATCGTCCTCGAAATATACACGACTTTCGATCGATTCGCGACGCGACTCACATTCGAAACGAGAAATCCTAAAGATTTCGAGACCCTTGAATCTACTCTCTTTCTTTTTCTTTCTCTCTTTCTCTCTCTCTCTCTCTCTCTCTATCTCTCTCTCTCTCTCTCTCTCTCTCTCTCTCTCTCTTTCTCTCTATCTCTCTCTATCTCTCGTCTTTTGCGAGCTTCCTTTTTCGGAAATCGAGTGCTAATAAACTCCCAGCATCCCCGAACGGATGCTGTAACGAACGTGAAAGTCGATCTTTAAGAAAGAGAGAGAGAGAGAGAGAAAGAAAAAGAAAGAGAGAAAAAGAGACAGTCATTACGGTCTTCCTTTTGTTATAATACGTCGTGTGAAATTGTTTCTCGTGCCTCCGATACGAGAGATCGTAATTTCTCGTGAGAAAGAAAAAGAAGGTAATCGAGGTAAATGAGTGTAAAAATTTGTTGAATATTACGAAATGAGAAATGAAGAAAAGAATTAGTTCGATATTAAGTGATTCAATTAAAATTCGTAATTGGTCTACTAAAAAAAAAAAAGAAATTGATTACAAGAGAGAACGATGAAGAGGGATTTATTAAGGGACGTGGAACACCCGGTATATTAGTACGTACATACGTATATAAAAGCAGAATGTACTTGTTCGCGTTGTTCGAACGTGTTAAGAATAATTTTCTGTTGTAGTTTTATACTACGGAAGAACCATTAGCAAACGCATTGTATATGTTTCTATGAGAGATATTTCTTTTTTTTCTTTTTCTTTGTATGTATATTTTCTTTACCTTTTATGTTCCTATCTCATTTTTAATAAATTTTTCATGAACGAGAAGTAAAATCTTATATTGCTACTCAATTTCTGTAAAACTTGTTAACGAATGTTGTATTATTTCTATGAAAATTTGTACAGACGATTGGCGTAATTCATTTCATTTCGTTTCATTTCTTTTTCTTTCTCTCTCTCTCTCTCTCTCTCTCTCTCTCTCTCTCTCTCTCTCACTTTCTATTTGAGATCTTATGCATTAAAGAAAAAGAGTAAGACCTCCCGGTACTTCGCGTTCCATTTCCTACCTATCTCTTGTTTACGTACTCCATCAGCAGAATCTCCATTTTTTACGTTACCCTTTTATCCCCTCCTAAGAAAGAAAGAAAAGATAAAGAAAGAGAAAAAAGGGGATATGAAGGAAAGAATAAATGGATCGTCAAATAATCCGATGCTCGAGTTTCATTTTGGCGTACAAATTTTAAAAGAAGAATGGACATAACGGAGAAGGTAAAGAAAAAAAATATATATATATATAAAATAAATGTCGCTGAAGGATATAACATTTGTATTTTAGTTTGTAAAAAGGAAACAAATTCATAAAAATTATTTTTCGTATTGTAATGTATTGAACTATATAAAAAGAAAAAAAAAAGAAAAAAAGAAGTAAAAAACCAGCTAATATCTAACGGATAGTTAATATTACTAAAGCAACTCATAATAAAAGGTAAAGCTAATAAAGGGAAATAAAAATATTAGAAATGCAGTACGAAGTCTAACTTTTTCTCATCAGATTATAAAAAAGAAGAAAAAAAAAAAACTAGATAAAAAAAAAGAAAATGAATAATCGATAGGTCGAATACTCGATCGTACTTCGCAATTATGTAATACTAATAGAAGTTCATGTATATGTGCACGTATATATATACATTCTCTCGATTCTTTCGTAGTAATTCGACGATGATCGGGTACACGAAGTGGATAGGAAAGGGCACGAGAAGAAGGTATGCATAATTAATTAACGATCCTCGTACCAGCGATGCTAATTCTCTACGATCGTGTTCCATCGAGCAATTAATTAGAGTCTGGCCAACGCATGCAAACGCGAATACTTGTCTGGTATATAGATATGTATATGTATGTGTACTAAGTGAGACGTAAAAAAGTCGAACATTTTTTACGAAAAAGCGCGGTTTTATCGTCGGTGTTTATCGATTTTCGAATTATTTTCAAATTGGTCGTTTCATCCAATAAAAAAAAGTAGGGTAACAAAAAGAGGAATCAAATGTATTATTAAAATGATTTAAAGTAATGGTAAAAATGATGTACTGAATAATATTCGTTCATTTGTACTCTTTTCTTGACATTTTTGCAAAAGTAAATGAGAGAGAGAGAGAGAGAGAGAGAGAGAGAGAGAAAGAGAGAAATAAAAAGAGAGAGTATCGAAAAATTGATATAGAATCCTGTTAATTTTTTTATTTCATATTTATATTTTTATTCAAGAAGTTTTGACCTTCTCGCAAAAATTGTAATTATTAATTTAAAAAAGACATAACCGATGTCAGGTTGAAAATACAAAACGATTACGTCGTTGTCACAAACAAATCAAACGAATAATTGGTTCTTTCCTTATATATATATATATAGAACGTTCAAAGAAAAAAAACAAAAATAATAATTCATTGTCAAAAGAAAGCCGGGATAAATTGAGGTTGACGTAAATTTTTCTAGCTTTATCTCGATTCTCTTCGATCACGTTCTTATTTGCAGTCGATATCATGGTACGAATAAATTCGATGCACTTGCAAAAGAAAGAATGGAAAAGAAAGCATAACAATGACGACAAGGACGAGGACGAAGATAAGGAATGTTCTTAAAGGACCACCAAAGAGAAATAAATTCATAGTGTGCGACGCTTTTAAAGTTTATCTAGGTATCACGTAGAAACTCTGGAACAGTTCGTACCTATTTCACGCTTGGATGCTGTGAGGAGTTCGTCCGTCGTTCTTTCCCAAGCTACACGACACGTTCTGAGGGTCTAAACTCGTTCGAAGAAAAGCATTTCATCCGTTTGAATTGGTTGCCTACGTAGTCGCGAAATTGCACGGTATTTTCATAGCGTATCTTAAAAAAAAAATAAAGAAAAGAAAAAGAAAAAGAAAAAAGTGACACCTCAATTATTTCACGTTTTATGCAATTCCTTCTCTTTTTCCATTTCCTGTCGATATCAACATTGACGATGTAATATGGGCGTATTTGAAAGTTAATAAAATGAGCTTTTAATTGAGAAACTAGGGGAAGGATATTTTAAATTGACTTATTCGATATCCATATTAAATCTCCATTTAATAATGAAAAAATTATCATAAATTACAGTATATATAAAAATATATATATATATATTTTTTGTTTATACTATATATACACTACTACTATATACTATATACTACGTATATATTTTTTTTCTATTATATATGCAATGTTCAAACGTGGCATTATATGTATAATATACATCATATTATATATATATTACATTTATATTATACAACACATATATTTATTATTTAATAGATAAGTAGTATTAATAACTTTTATTTCGAGTCTCTCAATAATGAGAGATTTTATTAACTTGAATGTACCGATTGAATTTCTATTATTAATTCTAATTAAACTTTCACAAAGTAAATAGTTAATAAAAAAAATTAAATCTTTCGAATCGTGAGCACTTTCATTAACTTCGTAATCTTTCGTTATCCATCAAAAGAAATTGTAATATTCTCGAAGAAATTATTTCGAACGACTTTAATCTTCCTTCTGCTATTCAATCTTCTTTCGCATGGATAGGAAAGGAAGAATGCATGAGGTGGCTAGATGAAAACCTAGATAGTGGCGCCATCTTTCTTTAATTCTATAAACGTTTCTCTATTAAGAATTTACCGTCTTTTCTTCCCTTTATTTTTTTCTTTTTCCTTCCCTTATATTTTTGTTAACGACAAAGATAAAAGAAACCCAAGGTAAACATAATTATTTTAGGGACAATGAGAATCTTCGATATTGTCCATTTTTTGAGTCCACAGCTATTTCATTTACGAGTATTGTTCGTGAGAGAGAGAAAAAAAAGAAAAATAAAAAGGAAATAAAAATAGAGCTTTAATTTGCGAGATTGCTTCTCTAACTTCGAGCTTAAGCCCTGGATTATTCTTTTCTTAATCTCGTTACGAGCGAAAACATTCAAAGGTTTTCTTCGAATGAACGGACGAACATTGGATTGAACTATTCAATGAAATTAATCATTTAATAATGAGGAATAAAATCAAGTCATATTGTAAAATTAAGTATTTTAAATGATTTATAATTGACATTTTATAAAGTTAAAGAAAAGAAAAAAAAAAAGAGGAAGAAAAAAAGAAAAGAAAAAAGAAAAGAAAAGAAAAAAACCAAGAAAAAAGGAAGAGATAAAAGGATTCCTAACAAACAAAGAAAAGAGAACTGTTGCATCGATTACCTATGGTCGGTAGTTACAAATCAATGAAAGACACCAAACTCGGAAGGTTTAATCCTTGGAGAATCGATCGAGTACTTGGAATCCTTTCTAAAAATCATGCGCATGATTATTACCTAAGGATATAGAAATAAGGAAACGTTCCTGAGATATCTAAAATTATCAATCTCTTTAAATAACTTTTAACGTATTGCACTTTACAGTCATTCAGTTTCCTAGTTTCCTTGTTTTTTCCTTCCTTCCATCTCTCTATCTTTATTCCATTCATTTTGCGTTTTCTTTCTTTTATTCATTTACGTTTCCCCCTCTCTCCTTCTTTCTCTGTTTATCTGTTTCTTTTAGTCTCCTTTTCTTTTTAAAACAGTTTGTTAATCTCTCTCTCTCTCTCTCTCTCTCTCTCTCTCTCTCTCTTTCTATCTATTTATCTGTTGGTTTCTCTTTGTCTCTCTTTCTCTTTACAATGATCTATTCGTCTATCTCCCTCACTCTGCATTTCCTTCTCTATTGCAGAGTAATCACGATCGATCTCCCTCATTAACGCGTCCATTATGTGACACGAATTTCCTCGCAGGGTGACATTCAAACCCTCAAACCCGTAATTACACCGTTTCTCACTTTAAAAGACCTTCCCACGACGATATTACGTCGAATCACGTTCCATCCTCTTTTATATTAATTTGAGGAACTTCAAAATTTCGATAAATGCAGTTTACGGGTCATTTAATTTATAATTCGTCGAATAAGTATTTGCGTTTCTTGATAACGAATTGATTTTAATAATCATTGTTGTATATGATGTTGATCCTTTTGATATTTCAAAATTAATTAAAGAAATATTGAAAAACTATATATTTTTTTACGCATTATTCCCTCCTGCCGTTGGCAAATATCTAACATATAAATAATTGTTTAAATTGATCGAAAATAATCGTTATTTCAATCTTTTAAATTAAGTTATTTGATAGAACTAAAAAAGTTTTAATATTAAATAATATTATTATTATAGGTAATGTTACAAGTAATTATTTTCAACATTGTAGATGATCAAACATTTTATCCACTTATTCTTTGCACGAGATAATTTATGTAAATAACTGTCTCTCCAAAGTTAATCTTCTTTACACGTCTCGTTCGGAAAAGCCTTCGTTCTGAACAAGCCTTCGAAGTTCGAAGAAGAGACAGTATAGAACTTTGACATCGTTCGTAAGTCTTTATTAAATAACTTTTTGAGTACGTGCGAAGAAAGAGCTCGTTCCGTAATTTCTTACGAACGTCTCATTTAAACCGTGAACGCAAGGATGGAGAGATTTGTCTCTCAGTTTAAGAACTTGAAAAACTTTCGATAATGATAATAATAATAATAACAATAATAATAATAATAATAATATATCTATAATTATTAATTTCATGATTAGTATTAATGATTTTGATGTTAAATATTAATTAAACGCGATTATTTTTTTTTTTCTTTATATGCATTTAAATGTAAACAAAAACATCCATGTGGTTTTCCATTAAAAAAAAAAAATTTTCTTATTTTCGAATATTTGCCATAAATCAAAGCCGTTGATGTTAATATAGAAGAAAGTAAAATACGTATCGATTATCTCATAGAATAATGAAAAAAGGAATAGAAAACAGGATTAGAATGTTTAAAAGGTAGGAAAGCAATACGAACAAGATTGATACCATTTTAGTCGTTAGAAAAATGCTATACGTATATTTGACTAGAAAAATTCCGTGCGATCGAGCTCTAGTAAAGCAACAGGTGTCGCTCGACTACCTTCGGAGATATCTTCCAACTTCAACGAAATCAATAACTTTGTTAAGTTTCACCTACTATGTGAAAATTTTCATACATACTAGCTTTCATACGCACTAAAAGGATCATTCCACTCATATAGATTCATTTTTTCTTATTTTAAAATGTTTGTCTTATTATTTAATTTCAAATTAATTAAATTTTCATAAAAATGATATACAAATACGAAGAAAATTTATATATATTTTATTTATATAAAATTAATTCATCAAACGTTTTATTTATTTCAGTTACAATATAAAATGTTTAAAGAGAAATATTTTGAAATGTTTTTCGTAGATTTTGACAAAAAATTTTATTAAGAGATGTCACATAAGTTTATTTTGTAGTCAAACTAAACGTTTGATCGTTCGTTAGGTACAGACATCATAAAGTAGATGTTTCTGCCGGAATGTCAAGTAAATTTTTTTTTTTTCACGAGCAGCTGTCACACCGAACTAGTAAAAAAGGGAGGACAGAATCAGAGCAGGATTATTACAAAAATCATGTCGTTATCTCACGCCCATGGTTGACTCATTCGAGAAATAACATGGAGCTAGACCGTATGATATTTCGCCGTGCGTCACGATCATAAAAAATATTTCAACAACCTTACTTTTTCCCGGAGATTCAAGAAAATTAAACGATTTAATAATAAAAATAAAACTTGAATATAAAAAATAAAAGATGTTTATTTTTCGAGAAATTACATTTATTATTATTAAGATTAAGTATATATGTATTTATACAATCATAAATCATTATTACAATTTACGAGAAATATCGATTACTAAAATGATAATTAATTAAACTTGAAATGACTAGTCGTAAATCAATTGAAGTGAATGATATAATTAAATAAATTTTGATGATTAATTAAATAAATGAATGATTTATTTTCATATTTGAATGATTAATTAAATAAATTTCCTAACAGAAACCTCAGACCTTTTAATCGAATTAAACGCAAAATCTCTTGATAATCAAATGATAATTACTTTAGAACTATAAACTCCATAAAACTGTCAAGCAAGTAATATACAAAAAAAATAAAAGCATACTATCGAACTTGTCAAAGATTAAATAAATATTGATTATCAATACGTTCAAAACTTTTTCTAATGGACTTATATTAAATTTTATCTAACGAAAATCATTCATCTCATTCATCATCGAGATCAACGAACTTGTGATCACAACAAAAAAAAAAAAACCTTGATTTATTGCCAAGACAATTGTTTTTGAGTGAAACGAATTGCAATCTTATTTGAAAATGACAATCTGTTTTCATCAAATTCTATAAATTCCACGAATTTTATTTCCTTTCACTCTCGTGTTTTTTATCGACGACAAACGAATGTTTTAATAGTCTTCTTCGAAGTTATCTCGAATCACGAATCAAAGAATCGTCCGTGAAGCGAGAAAAAAGCTGTAATTAACCGTCTGGAAAACTGGGTCACAGAGATAATATTCGATGGGGTGGATGGCATCTCGGACACTGCAGTTTTATGACATCAATGAAAAAGGAAACGACATTTTCGGTATTTTCATCCTGCTCGACTGTAAAATCAATACAACGATGGGTGGAATATTATCGATGGAGACTTCATTTGAATATAATTTCTTAAGTTGCAGGTGATCTATATTTATTTTAAAAAAAGGCAAATCATAAATGTGAAATTATAAAAATCAATTATTTCTTTTCTTTTATTATATATATTTCTAATATATTTCTTATCATTTAAATCATATATATATATATATATATATATATATATATATATATATATTTACACACACAGATAAAGCAAATTGGTGAAAGTTAACCAGAACATTGAATATAAAATTGTTATTCATTCAACTCAAATTATACTCAAATTAAAATCAAATCTTAGTCTATCTTTTTATATCTATCTCTCTATGCAACTTTGAGACTAACGTCTTTAATCATTTGAAGGACGTAAAAGATGGATTTGTATTAATGAAAAAAAAAAAAAAAAAAAAAAATTAAATTAACGAAAGTTAATCAGATCATTCAATATAAAATTACGTCAAATTAAAATCAATCTTTAATTTTTAAATTATTTCTATTTCGCTATTTAGCTTTAAGACAAACGTCTCTAATTGTTTAAACTAAGTGAAAAATCAATTTACACAAATCGTAAACAAATTGGTGAATAGTTAATCAAAATCTTCGATATGAAATCATGCAAAATAAAGAAAAAAATTAATTTCACTTTCAAGGATAGTGGTAAAGGTTGTACATGTTAATTGATGGAACGCGAGCAAATAATTGCAATTATCTTTGCTCTGAGGCGGCTAAAGTAAAACGGAATTTTTAACATCGTTCTTGACGAGCTGTAATACAGTATGATATCTTCAAGTTATTGAAATAATTTCGTACAACAGGATTGAAGAGAAGCGAGAACTCCAATTGTATCTCTTCTCTTTTTCTCTTTTTCTCTTACTTTCTGTCTCTTTTTCATTGCAGTCTCATTTCTCTGACTTTATGATCGTTCATTATACTCCAACTGCAAGTATTCGTAAAGCTACGCATCTTTCAGGAGTTTCATAAACGTTAAACGATTTTTCTTTTAAATAAGAAAGAATGGAGTAAGTAGGAAACTACAGCCATAATTAAAATAAATTAGAATCGGATTCGTTTAGAAATTAAATTTCTTCATATTTAAAAATTAAAAATTTATAAAAAATTTATACATTAACTATTTACGTATACTTATGCATATCATTATGTGTGTTCAATGAACGAAGTTCATATTATTATATATGTATATATATAAGTAGATATATATGTATATACATATATATATATATATATATATATATATATATATATATTCCTTTTATCGTTTATAATTGCTATGGCCTTTAGTAATCATTCTAATTAACAATAATTATATAATTGCGATTAATTATAAAACTGTGATAAATTTATTAATTATTCTTAATTATATAACAATGAGAAATTATAACACTGCGATTTATCTTATATTTAGAATTTTTGAAATTTGTTAATAATTTATTAAATTTCTTAAACAAACATTTTTGTAATTGTGAAAAACATACTTAAACAAAAATTATTATTTAATGAATGTCACTTTATCATGAGATGTTTGACGATAATCGGCTCATTACAATATTGATATAATTTAACTGTACAACGCGTAACTTTACTTATTCGCAATGTCGCTCCTTTCCATTTCGAGACAACGAGTTCATGACGAGAACAAAAACGTGCGAAAACGATGAATTCACTGGTCGCATTTCACGATTTTGCCTGGGCAATTCGATTAAAAGGCTAATTACAAACTGCCGGTGGTTGTGGTTTTTCGACCTTCCTATCCGTAAGTGGAAGTTGCTATCACGTAAGCAAGTTAAACGTCTGACACATTTTTCGTACTTGCGTAACAGGATTTATATCAATTTGATTACTCGGAAAAACCAAAAGAAAAAGAAATAATAAAAATAATTCTTAGAAGAAAAAGATTCGTTAATTTTAAAACTTTTAAGTCTATTTAATCTATCCCTTAAGTTAAAATAAAACTTATCAAGTTTTCCACGTGAAAAAAGCCCGACAACATACATGAGAAATTTTCGTGAAGGGAAGGCAAAGTGAACACATTAATTTACCATTTTTCAAAGTAAGAGGAAGAGAGAGAGAGAGAGAGAGAGAGAAAGAGAGAGAGAAGGAGTTCTCCCTTTTCTGCAAAGAACTGATACGAAGAGTTATTCTCCGTAAGTGTATCCGCACATATATCTACGCTTACCATCGTTTTAACTTTTAAGTAAAAAAGTTATTCAATTTCAATTGGAAATTTTGTAGGATTTGAATAAATCATTTTGATTGATTGATGTAAAAAGTGAAATGAAATGTTTTATGTTTATATTTTTCATAATCTACGAATATATATAAATAACATACGCACGCGTACGAGCATACATTGATTTACTTCATGATTTTACTTTTATTTATAGTTTTAAAGATTATCAGTAATCCCGTAATTTCTTATATTTCATAATATAAAAATAAATGAACTTAGAAGATATACATATTAAATTTTTAATGATAAAATTTATAGAAAAATTTAGTAAAATGAAATTTATTTATAAATATCTAAGATCATATTTTCTTTGATATGTTTTTATTTATAATATACGTAAATAGTGGTCTATGCAAGGGAAAATGCTAGTTAGCTTTGACATTTTGATACTCGCACATAAATATTGGTCCATGCAAGAGGACGTTGGACATCGGTGAAATGAAAGACTTGAGTCACGTAATAACAGATAATTTTTTGCTTTACTCGACATTCGTGTTTCTCTGAATAAAAAGATAGGAGTATAATAGCACGTATTTTGAAAACTTTTTGTGGACTCCGTTTCGAATATACGTGAAGCAGTTTAAGTAGTATTGTATGCTTTTGAAGGTCATATCATGGGCTGGGAGGGTTCTCGACGGATGCCTTTATTCTCCTCCCTCGTTTCATATAAATGAACGCAGTTTTCTTCTTGCAATATTGCATTCGTTCCAAAGTACTTCTATCTAATAAAAGATAAGAGCGAAAGAGAGAGAGAGGGAGGGAGGAAAAGAGAGGTATTTTTACTCTTTTGCGTAATATGCAAGAAATTAACGATAATGTTCGTGTTATTTTCAAGTAATTACAAATACACATAAGTCTTTTTTCTTTATTTTCAAGAAGAAAGAAAAGATAACAATAATGATAATAGTTATTTATTAACATTTTTATCGACTTTCTAATTAACGTCTTCCAGTTATGATTATTTTTATCATTTTAAATCTTTTTTATTCATTATTATTATTATTATTATTATTATTATTATTATTATTATTATTATTATTATTATTATTATTATTATTATTATTATTATTATTATTATTATTATTATTATTATTATTATTATTATTATTATTATTATTATTATTATTATTATTATTATTATTATTATTATTATTATTATTATTATTATTATTATTATTATTATTATTATTATTATTATTATTATTATTATTATTATTATTATTATTATTATTATTATTATTATTATTATTATTATTATTATTATTATTATTATTATTATTATTATTATTATTATTATTATTATTATTATTATTATTATTATTATTATTATTATTATTATTATTATTATTATTATTATTATTATCATTGTTGTTGTATTCAAAGAAAAATTTGTTAAAAGGTCATATTGCTCGAAACATTACAAAATATTTTTTAAACTTTTATAAAACACGTAATTAGTTTATTTATAAACGATACCGAGGAAAAAGTTCAGAAGAATATCGCTGTATACAGAAAAGAATGCACTAGAACAAACAGAAAAACGGAAAAAAAGAAAAGTTTATAAGAAAAGCCGCGTTTATTACGAAGTAAGAAAAACAAAAAAACCCTTTCTTCGGCACCAAAGACTTCGTAGCATCAAGAAAAAACTTTTCTTTCTATAATGTATCTAACAACTTGGGGAGAGTAGAAAACCAAAACAGTGGAAAATTGCATGAAAGGAGTATACAAACGTTAAAAGTGTTGAAATAGAAGATCGTACCATTCTTGAGAAGAAGAAATTATGATTTGGAAAAAGAATATTAACGAAATAATCTTGATAGAAAATATCGTGAATGAATAAACAACTTTTTAAATTTAATTTCAGACAATACAAGAAGTTTATATATATATATATATATATATATATATATATATATATATATATATTATATATATATGTATATATATTATATATATATATATATATATTATATATATATATATATATAATTATATATAATTATATGTATATGTATACTTATACGTGATATGTATATTATACTTATATCATAATAGAGTAAACAACTTCAAAAAAAATTTTTTTTTAATTATATAGAATACAACAATGAAGTTTGCTGATCAGTAATATTTTAAGTTTTTATGAATGCCTATAA